TGAATCAAAAAAGAAAAATTTACAGTTAACTGTCACAAAATATACAAAATTAGAAAATTATCACTTTTTTCCTGCCAAAATTGCATGTCTACCATTTCTTAACAATTTTTAACTGTCATTGAATAAATAAAAAAAGTCCAGTTTTCATGACAGTTTTTAACTGTCACAAATTTATACAAAATCCAAAAACTAGCATTTTTTTCAGCCAAAATTGCACCTCTATCATTTTGTGAAAATTTTTAACTGTCATTTCAAAGAAAAAATTCTAATTTTCGTGACAGTTGAAAAATGTCATAAAATTTTAAAAATCTAAAAATTTATTTGTGATAGTTTTTTTCCAAACTTTTTTTTACTGTTCATAACTATCATTGAGCCAGTTTTGTACTGGTGATCCTATAAAAACAAGTTATATAAATTAAAAAGGAAGTGAATTATTGAAAGAAAGAAAGGGTATCCGTCTCTCCCCACTCAAGTTTGCAAACCAAGTTAATTATTGAAAAAAGAAAAAGAAGAAGAAGAAAAAGAAGTCTTCTGAATGGAGGGTATGCGTTTACATATATAGGAGCAACCACCGCCATCAACCATTCTTTCATTTTAATAATTTTGTTTACTTAAATGGTAAGTTAGTTTAATTTGGATAACTTTGATTTTAATTATTAAAGCAATTCCTTACCAAATGGAATGAAGTCTGATTCATTTATACAATTAAGGCTCAAGAAAATGACAAAGACTAAAAAATTGGTTTTGAGATGGAAGTTCACTATATATATAGAGGTAAACGTATCGATGAATGTTTAAAATGTCGATGTATATGTTAAAGATTTCAATTTTATCGAAATAACGATGAAAATATAAATAAAATGTAAATGTCGATAAATATTTATGAAAAAAATCACAAATTTCATAAAATTCATAAAAAATAAATAAACATTTTAAACATTCTAAATAAATTAGAATTATTATTAATATATTTTGTTTATATTAGTGACATTTGTTGCTATTTTCTATTGTTTCATGTATTCTATTACGATGTAATGGAACTGAAAATTCACCTCCGGAAAATTTAAAACCCTATCTAATAATACAAACATGAAATATTATGGACAATTTTAACGTGTTCGCCAATATATATCTGTATATTAAAATGTTTGCGTATTTGAATTTGGATCTTAGAAAGTACAGAAGAAATATTATTGTAAAATTCCAAAGGGGTGGTTGAAGAAATTTCTTCAACTCAAATTTTTGTTGTTGAAATGTTAAGTACCAACAACACTTTAAATCCAAGTCCATCCATCTATAAATAGATTTGATCTAATGACAAGATTTGCATCAAATGCTTAAACTTGGTGTTCTCTCAATATACGAATAATTAACTATGAAGGGTTTTATTGGGTTTTCTTCTTCAGCTGCCATCTTGCTCCTTATTTTACAGGCAGCAATCTTTGTTTCTTGTTATGATCCCAGCCCTCTTCAAGACTTCTGTGTAGCCATTGATGAACCCAGTGACTTCAAATATGCTGGTAACTTTTAGCCGTATTCATATCTTTCATGTTACAGTTTCTTGTCTCTCGCTCTCGTTGAATTATTATCGAATTAATAAAACTTGACTTTTTCTTATTCATGGGAGTGGGAGGAAATGGTATTATACAAATTTTATCTATTGTCCATTTCACCACCGTATGTGTTAAATTATCCATAGTCATACAAAAATTTATATAAGGTAGTAACTATATTGATAATGATAATAATAGTAGAACTATGCGCCAATTGGCATTAGTTATTACTAAACTACGACAAATGTAGTTTTTTCTGATTTACATTCCAACGCAATCTCACTTAAATAATGTCCTTTTCATCTGCATGTATAAATGTATAAAACATAAGAAAAACCAATGCATACATAGGTTCCCATCTACATTCAACATAAATTTAATGAACCAAATGAGACATAGCCTTATTTATGTATTTATTATTTCACCTTTTTCATATTTTGTTTTTGGTGGAATGCAGTGTTTGTGAATGGGAAGTTCTGCAAGGACCCAAAGCTTGTGAAAGCTGAAGACTTTGTTTTTCGAGGACTCGAGACTCCTGGAAACACAACTAACAAATTGGGGTCCAATGTGACTCTAGTAAATGTTGAGCTATTTCCTGGACTCAACACTCTTGGCATCTCTTTGGCTCGAATCGAATTTGGTCCATATGGCCTTAACGCACCCCACTACCACCCACGAGCCTCTGAAATTCTGGTTGTTGTTGAAGGCACTCTCCTCGCCGGTTTTGTCACATCAAACCCCAACAAACTCTTCGCAAAACTTCTTCACAAAGGAGATGTGTTTGTGTTTCCCAAAGGCCTCATTCACTTCCAGTTGAATGTTAACACACATGGCCCAGCTTTTGCTTTCGCTTCGCTCAGCAGCCAAAACCCAGGTGTTGTTACCATTGCTAATGCCGTGTTTGGATCTGATCCTCCAATCTCCCTCGATGTTCTTATGAAGGCCTTCCAAGTCGACAAGCACGTCATTGATGCTCTCGAAAAGCAATTTGAAGATTGAGAAGAAAAAGAATTACAAAGTTAATTATTTATCTCTTCGAACCTGTGGATGTTCTTCAACTTTCGTGAAACGTGAAACTATAAAATATATACCGGAATAAAATGGAACTCTCGCATTATTATATAGGTTTTCCATCTCTTGAAATAACACTAAGGCGTGTTTAATTTCTGTTTTTAGTTTTTGGATTTTCTGTATTATGTTTTCTGTTTTTAGTTTTCTATTTTTATTTGATAACTGTTTTTGTTTTTTGTTTTTTAAAATTAAAAACCAAACATATGTTTGAGTTTTCTGTTTTTAAAAATAAGAAATTTAAAATATATGTTAAAGAAAGAAAAATCTATGTAAAATAGAGATTGCAACAATGTGGGGTAGGAGTCGGGATGCCCTCATCCACGAAAGTTTATAATTTTCATCTCCAACTCGTTCTCAGATTTCGGAAATCAAGGTCTAGGTTCAAAAATCCTCATTTGAGATGGGGATCTTCGTGAAAAAAATTATAGCTTTAATAATTTATAGAATTTAAAAAATAAAAAGTAACAAAGATATATAATTTACATTATTTTACTCAAAATTTATTATTTTCTAGTATAAATAATTAGTTTAAAAAATATTTAAGATTTATTCATAATTTAGTAAAATAGTAAATATAATATATATTAATTATTTAAAAAATTGGAATTGGAGGTTGTACATGGTGTGAAATGCATTTTCTATTCTTAGAGTGGGGACTCAACCCTATGCGAATTTTAGTCATCTCTAATGCAGAGACATGAAAATAAAAGTTCAGAGATATAAAAAAGCTTTTGAAAGAGAAATTTAAGAGAGGCTAAACTTAGAGAGTTAGAGAAAGATTAGAAAAAAAAATTGTGAGAGAAAAGTTGAAGTAAAAAGTAGAAAATTATAGACAGAGCAAAACTGAGAACAAAAAACACGTTAAAGAAACAAAAAAAAATAGAAAGAGAGAAAAATTACCATGAGAACAAAATTTGGACAATAAAAAGTTCAAAATATATTTGTTACATACCATAGATAAATAAAAAGAGAAATAAAAGTTATAAATGAAAGAAAATTGAACGAGAAATCTAAGAAAAGTCGAACAATATTTGTTTGAGAAAAAATAAACTAGAAAGAAGGAGAAATAAAAGTTATAAAATGTTAAATTTGAGAATAAGAATATAAAACATTTGGAAATTCTTAGAGAGAGAAAAGAAAGTTATATGTTTAAACAAAATAAAAAAAATATAAATATATACAAATGAAAATTTTGGAAAGGGATAAATATTTTGGAGATAGAAAATTTAAAGAAAGAAAAATTTAGGTAGAAAAATATTTTAGAGCGAGAAAAGTATTATTAGAGTGAAATATACCAAACAAAAAAAATTGATCATTAGAAGGAAAAAAAAAGTGAGATTTTGAAAAACATGAACTTGTCTTTTAAAACTACTTTTTTTTATTTGAAATTTACAAAAGATTTCGAAAACGATTTTGAAAAACAACAAAACAGAAAATTGAATTGGTTATCAAATACCTAATTTTCAAAAATTAAAAACCAAAATCAAAAACTGAAAATCAAATGTAATTTTACAACAAGAGGTAAGAGGTGGATAATACTCTCCCTTATTCAGGTATATACTTGGGTATATATCATGCAAGTATCGAAGTTGAACAAGTTAAGACACGAGGGACTAAAGTGCAAAAAAGAAAAGATCTGACGGTCGGAAATGTTATAGCCTATCTTTTGGTAGAGTAAAATCTGAGCTGCTATAGGCATATTGTTGTAGCATTTAGCAAGGCACTCTAGCCTAAAGGATAGCTGGAATAATCTACTTAGAAAATTAAGTCTCCTTTTAACAGAAAAACCATAATTTATCTTTCAAAATCTTGCAGAACAATACACAAAGTCTTGCTTGGAAAATTAAAGTTATGAATCACAATTTAATTAATCATTAAACACACTTGCCGCGACAAAGAGATATATTGCATTGAGGCTCCATTTACTTATCGAAAATCGTAATCAATGAATCGTAATGAAAACTTCTATTCTATTTGATAATATTTACCAATTGGTAGAATGAAATCAAATGGTAAGAACCACTTTAAATTTTGTAATCTCATTCCTTAAATGGACCGTTGGTTGAAGATTTGAAAAATGTATCCTGGGATTAAGATGCGGGGAATGATGTCAGATTTGTTTTAAAATTAATCAAAGTCAAGTCTCAACCATTAATTTACCTGAGATAATTTTAAATAAATAATTGATAGTTAATTCATTTTTTATTAAGTTAAATTATTAAAAAATAGTTCTGAACAAATTTCTTTTATATATATATATATTTTTTTTAAAGAAAAGCTACTTCTCAATTCTTAAACTTTCTCGTTGTAAAATTTTATTTTAAGTTTTTGGAGGGTGGAGTGAGTTTGTTGCTCAACCTCAAAAGAAATTTTAGTTTTTATCCAAATTAAAATAACTAATAGAGAAAAAAATATAATAACAAAGCACCAAGAAAAAAACAGAATGTAAAATGGTCATATTTGTTGGGTATTCTCTTTAAAATATTTATGGTATTGAATCAATTGACACTTGTATTTTATCTTCCTCCTTGGATTTTGGTATTGCAATATATCATGATCATCTCTCTTGAATATTCTATTGTTTTCCTTTTACCAATTTGCTTTGTTTGAAGCTATTTATAAAATATTGATGGTATTGAGTTATTAGAACTTTGTATTTTTATAGGTTCTTGCTTGGATTTTGGCATTGCAATATATTGCAAGAAACAAAAACAAAATGTAAAATGGTCATCTCTCTTGGGTTAATATTCTTAATTATGACATGGTGAATCATGATGTTTTTGTAGGTTTTAAAAGTTCTGTACTCAATATGTTATCGTCACCAATCCCTTTGTATATAATAAAGCCGTCAGATCATTTTCGATCTCAAGTAAGTTGTCTAATCTCACTTCGCAACGACAATCAAGAATATTAAGGATAAGTTGAGCATACTCAACTTGAGATGTTCAGAAGAACACTTTTTGGATCATTTCTGGATGTAGATATAATATTTAATGGGTAGTTGATCCATTATTTGTTATTGAAGGAGGTGGAGTAGAAGAATGATGATTGTATTAGCTTTATGGTTGGAGGAGTGATGTGTACCTTTTCAAGGTAGGAGTTCGATATGGTAACTGGACTATGGCGCCGTGGAAGTTGTTCAAGTGGGACCAAACTAAGTCATAGACTTGGAAAGACATATTTTAATGATAAAGGGTCTATCACAGCAAATGAGATAGAAAATAAGTTTTGAATTTCGAGGGTGATGATGAGGATAGGGTGAAGCTGACACTGATATACCTCATAGAGTTGGCTTTGTTAGGGAAGGATAAGAAAACAAAAATCGTCACTAAATCGATTTCAATTGTAGATGATTGGTCTACATTTGATAGTTATGACTGGGGCTCAATAATATACGAATGCATGTTGAATGGGCAAAAGAAAGCATTGAGAAATGCTCGAACATCTAATCGAGAAAAATATTGTATAAGCGGGTTTCCACTAACACTACATGTATTTTAATTACAATACCTAATTTTAATTATTTTACCTAATTTTATGTATATAATAAACTTCCATACTTAAATTATGTTTGTGTCATGTGTTGTAGGTATGGGCGTATGAGTCTATATCGACCATGAGTGGTTATGTTGTAAAGAAATTGGATGAGAATGTTATCCCTCGCATGCTTCGTTGGTCATGTTCACAATCGTCCTAAGCTAATTTTTTAGAGAGTGAAGTGTTTGATATAAAGAAGGTATGCAACAATTATAACATAAGGGTTTACTATAATAATTATGTTATATTACCTAACTATTTTTTTATCTTTTAGATGGAAGTTAGAGAATTCCTCGAGTTGACTGATGATGAAAAGTTGTCCATTCATGCAATTAGAGGTCAACCACCTTCCAAACCATGTCTCCCAAGTTCTAATGTTACATCCCATCATACACTAATCTTCAAAAAACAAGACGCTACACCCCATGAAGACTAGTGCTATTGATTCTGCACCATATTGGATTCTTTGATAGACGAGGTGAGTCACCTGAACATGTGCAGCCTTGGCCAGTTGTAATTGTAGATTCAACACCAACTCAACGTAATTGTAGTGACTGCGGTGTATTTACGATTAAGTTTTTCGAATACATTGTAACTGGTGCTCATTTTGGAACTCTAAATTACAAGAACCACTACAAGAAAAATGAGTTTCAGAGACATAAGAAAAATGTCGCTGAAAACCCAATTTTGTCGCTAAAAGTTTCAGCGACGAGACCTCGTTCGTCGCTAAGGACGTCACAGATAATACGTCGTTTAAAGTTTCAGCGACATCGTCATCTGTTGCTGAAACTAATTTTCAGCCACATCTTTTCTTGTCGCTGAAAAGCGTTTTCAGCTACATATATTTTTCTGTGTTTTTAGCAACAGAAAAATATATTGCTGAAGGACATTTTCAGCGACAGACCAGTATGTCGCTGAAAGATATTTTCAGCGACAGAAGATGATGCCGCTGAAAATGTCTTTCAGCGACATATTTTTCTGTCGTTGAAAATGTCTTTCAGCGACATACTAGTCCGTTGCTGAAAATACGTTTCAGCGACATCTTCATCTGTCACTGAAAACCAGTTACAAAATACGCATATTTTCTTTTCAATTTTGCCTTCAATTTTGTTCAATTTCTGTGCTTTAAAACAACACATATATAAAACGTCGCTGAAAAGTATTTTTAATATTAAATTGCAACACTACAAGAGAAATAACCATGTTATATCAACACTATAAACAACCCAAAATGCTCATAACTTCATAAAATACTAATAAACTTATTTGTATATATATACAACACAAGTGATGACTACCATAACTGTAAGATCATCACGACATTTCAACTACATCAAAATTAATATTTATAAGTATATGTATCAAACGATCGTTGTTATGCTTCGATTAAC